TGAAGCCCGTCTTATGATCTTTCCATTAACCCATTGATACTCCTCAGTCCAGTCAACTACGTCAGCTCCTCCTTTCTTCTCCAGAAAACCACCAGATTCTGTTATTAAAAATTCACAGAGTCCAGGAAAGGGAAAAGAGAAATATGTCCAAGCCAAACTGCATTCACAAAACACAAGTCTCTTAAATCCTGTCCGATGGTATTACCGTCTGGGATTCTTTTCCAGAAACATAAGATTTATTTTTCCGTCTCACTCTCTCGGCTTTGAAACCAGCCTGCTGTATTAAGAGTTCACTTGGGAAGGAGAGTTAGTTTCGCTTTTGAAGCAGACTGATAAGATAGGTTCGCCGCTGCTTTTCTTCTTTCAGCCAAATATTTTCATTCTTATTTTCAGCTTAATAGGCTGTTTCATAAATCAAAGGCTTCAGCTTACTTAGTTGTTATATATTTTAAGCTTATATTGGTTGTTCTCTTCTCCCCCGGTAAAGGGTTACTTATGGCTCAGTGCCAATACTATGGCTCCCTGCCTCCAATCCGTGCTCAGAGATTTCTTCAGATGGAAGAAGTACGGGTTTGCCTCCCATTCTTCTGCTGCTGCTCACCATCTGCTTCAGAAAGAATTCTCCTAGACTCTCCTTCGATCCCCATTTCAAAAAGGGGATCCCGGACCAGACGGTTCCAGTTTTTCCCAGAGAGCTCTTCTCTGGAGCTACTGGCAGCACTGCAACAAAGTCCCGCCTCTCGTTAATGGCTAGTGTTTTAAAGGAAAGCTATATTAAAAAGTGACAAGCTTAGGTTGGGGCTGGCCACAAACTTCAAAATTTCCGAGCATCCTCAGACACTGTGTTAGCACCTTCAACCCCTTTGCAGCTGGCTCAATAAACTACAGCTTAGGTAAAATTTTATATTATTAAAAGGTAAGAAGTGACTGTGACAATTGCTCCACGTCACTCCTGTCACTCATATTCAGGATCTCATTTGCATGAGTCTATGAGAGGAGTGGAGGGGCGGAGTCAGCGGATATAAGAAGGTTTGGCAGAAGAGATGAAGGAGAGGAGATTAGAAATTGAAGAGAGACAGCGAGAGAGAGAACAAATACTAATAGAGATAAGCTGCTCAAGATAAATAGAGCAGGTGGTGTTTGGGTATGTGGCAAGATATATGACATTTTGATGATTTGATTGTATGCATTGAATAAAGAACATCTGTGATTCTGATTAAATTTAATATACTTCAATAAATACGTTCTGTTGGTAGTTACTTTGATTGTATGCATTGAATAAAGAACATCCGTGATTCTGATTAAATATAATATACTTCAATAAATAAGTTCTGTTGGTAGTTACTAGACAAGTGTAGACTAAAGTCTTTTATATTGTGGATAAAGGAAATCCACTGGTGGCAGTGAGGAAAAGAGAAGACTGAACCCTTTGAGAGGACACAACACATAGGTGCATCAAAGGGGTGGACGTCACAATTGGTGTCAGCTGGTGGGATGACATAGCATGAGCTCTTTGTTTGGTGAAACAAGTAGGGGCCACGTGGCAAATGTCACAATGGCAAAGCACAGCAAAAAGTTTCAATAATTTCAGCCATGATTATAAAAACCACCAGGTAACATATGCAGAGCTTATAGAGGCATTATTTCCCACAGAAAACAATGAAATCTCTCTCCAAGCTATACTCACAAACATGTAGTCTTTCATAGCAGATAGCATAGTGTGAACACACTAAGTCATGATGATCAGTCCATGATGGAGGGTGGTTCGTTCTAACTATCTCTTAAATTCCATCATATCTCCGACCACAGTGCTAAGAGACCAGCAATCAGAAGGCTGCATTTAATAGGCTCTAGCTATACCAGTTAATTAGTACTGCTCCGGGTGCAAGGACTCCTCACTCTCCCTCGCTTTCAAGGCATCCTGACCCCACCAATACTCTTATCTGGAGATGGTGGTGCTAAGCATTACACAATTCTCAAAATATTCAGGCCTAGCAAACTCAAAGCTCAGTTTGAACATTTCACAGCTGTTCCAAGTCTTGGTGTTAACTCTCTACTTTATAAATGTTACAGACTTGATGTTAATTCTGTAAACCATAATTCCTTCATAGGCAACTTGCAACCTTCAAGCTGCTTATGGCTGTTGGCTTTTAACAGTGCATCCAGCTACATTTTCACCAGTTGATCAGTCCTCAACAAAATGATGGAGAAAAAGCTGCTGAGTGTTGTTGTTGTTGTTTGCTGCTGTTACAGATCACCAGTATCCTTTCTGCCCTTGGCTTTAGTTTTCCCAACTCCCCATCTTGCATCAATTCAAATGCAAATGACACATTGAGCATCTTTTGTTCAAAACTATCAGAAGTCAAGAAAAAGCTATGAAGAGGTTCAAAATAGGTTTTAAGAAGACCCATCAGGAGGTAAATTCCATCTCCAAATTCAGGTATTTATTCACATAAGCTATGAGCATCTTTTCACAACTTTGAGCTTGTTTGGAGCATGGTCAAACCGTGTGTTAAATGCATCTCATTCATGCCGTCCTGACAGTGCCTCAGTAGTACCATTTATTGCCTCCTAGATTTGTTGGGATTGGAGAATTCTAGATGTTTCTGGACCACCACAACTTGAATAGCCACATGATCTGGCACTCTGATTGGGGCCTGTGAAGGAGTGAGTCTGAGTGTGCTGTCCTCCGAAGGAAAAGAACAGCCAGAGGAGAGTGGCTGCGTGGAGGGCGTCTTGGTTGAGATAGAGCAGGATGAGGGAGTGAAGAGGAGACCCACGGAAGTCTGTTTGGCCGATGAAGAAGGGGTGGAGTTTGATTTGATCATGTGGGAGGACATAAAAGAGGGAGAAAAGGCGCGGGAATTCAGTTGGCTGGGGGAAGGAGCTCTGGGAGGATATGTAACCCGAGGGGTTCAGACTGAGCCCATGCTTGGGGCTGAGGGCTTTGGAGACTTTGCGCCAGATATTCCTAATTTGGGACAAGGACGAGGCTCACTGCCCGAACCGTTACCACCTGGTCGTAGCGG